ACCTTCTCCTCACCACCTGATTGGGATATGAAGCCAGGGGTGTGATGCCCTGGAGGAGATAGAGGCGTGTGCAGAGGAAAACCACCACAACTCCTGGTAATGGGACTTGACTTCCCTCACAGGCACCAACTTTTGTTGGGGCTGGTGGGTGCTCACACACACCCCCTGCCCCCAGCCCTGCCCCGACTCCGCCCCCTCCCTGCCCCTGTTGGGCCCTTCCCCAAATCCCCGCCCCGGCCCTGCCTCTTCCCCGAGCACGCTGCATTCCTCCTCCTCTCTCCCAGCGCTTGCCGCGTGAATTTGGCAGAGCACCCACCAATTTTTCCCCGTGGGTGCTCCAGCCCCAGAGCACCCACGGAGTCGGCACCTCTGCTTCCCCTTAATAAGCTGGATAGCCCCTTTGGTGTTCCTTGATCCTCTTTGTGCTGTACCCATGACCCCTGCATTCCCAAGGTCTTTTTCTACGGATATTAAACCTGGATGATTTTGCGCTAAAATCCTTCTAGAGCCCCTGGGGACCAAGCGGCAACTCCCCGACCTAGGGCTTCCTCAGGTCAGGGTGGGTTTTCCGTTCCTTCGAGCTCTGGCCCAGCCAGCGCTCGTGATAGCTGAAGAAGCCCCACTGCGGTTTTCCTGTGGAAGAAAGACACGCCAGGTATGCAGGGTTTTCAGTGAGAGACAATACACCTCTGGGTTTATTAACTCAGGAGTCAGGCGATAAGCAGAAACCTCGTGTGAACGGGACAGTTTCCCCACACTCAAAACAGATCCTTCTGTCTCCTCAGAAGCTCCCTCAGCTGCTCGATCTGCGCTGTCACGCTGCTCTTGGACGTGCCCCCTGGCGTGGTGTACTGCTCCACGCTGTTGGCATAGTCCCACACTTGAGACACGTCAGTTCCAAACAGGGGGCTGGGGAGGCAAAGTGAGAAGGTGCGTCAGTGGAGAGCTCCACCATGAGCTGTCCCACAGGCTGAACGGATTTAGCTTTGCAAGCTGGCTATGCCACACTCCAGTAACTGCGTAGGTTATGGAGCCCAATCCCACTCCCAATGAAGTCCAGGGCAAAATTCCCAAGGCCTCCTCCTGCCCTGCCTTGCACCTTGTGTAGTCAGTTACGCCTGTACACAGTGAGCGCAAGCTGGGTGTAAAATGCTACCCGATCAGAAGGGCAGTGTTTTACACCTGCTCTGCGGAGATGCCAGTGACAAGGCAGGGGCAAGGCTGTGGAGAAGCAGGCCTTCAGTTTTCAGAGCTGGTCACACGCGTTAGCACTGGAGCGGGTCTAAATCTGCAAGACATTTAAGCCCAGCGCCTCAAAGATATTTAGGTGCCTAACTCCCGTTGAAGGATCTGAGTCCTAGGGCCTGAGCCAAATCCTACTACAGTCAGTGGAGAGACTCCCATCAATCCACCCTGCTTCAGGGAATCAGCTGCCTAGTCACACATCATCAGTTACAGAAGCTGACTGCAGGCCAGGCCTTTCTGGTGCTGGCATTAACAGCAACGAAAAGTTTGACAAATAAAATCACTTTCTAGTTACGCCATGGAAAAATGGAAAGTTAGTGCTTTGGCGAGAATTGCTGCAGGATCTGTTCCCCTCCCCAGCACAGATCTCCCTGTCCATGCCTGGCTCCAGCTGAAAGGCAGATCCCCATGGGTAAAGGGGGTGCCCCCCTCTTCACACAGGCAGCGTTTTAGGGCCCACTGTCCAGACGTAGACTTCAGTAGCATCATGGTAATTCAGCCCAGAAGGGCTTGAGGAACAGGCATGCCCAGGTGAGATGATGTTGTGGGAGTTGTACAACAAGTGTTGAGAACCCTAGCAAATGGCCTTTGTTAAGAAAATAGTTAAGTTAAGAAATACAAACCTAATGCTCTTCATGTCCTCCACAGTGAGCTGATTAATGGCGATGCCCTTTGTCTCCGCTAGGTGGACAGCCTTCCCAGACGCAGCATGGGCTTGTCTGAATGGCATCTGCAGTTAGAAGTACATACAACAAAAAGTGAGCAAGCAACTAAGGTCCAGGACCAAAGAGTGTGTGAACACTTAAGTGAATGTGGACCTTGTTTTACAAGGTGACGCAACATTCCCAGTGCTGTCAGAGGCTGGGGTTTCTGGGATACAGAGTGTGCATGTTACGCAGGGTAACACGATCTGCAAAAATGTCTGCCAGGCCACAATGCAACAGTTACACTGCTGGGGATACATTCAAAGGGGCTTTCAGTCCTGCTGGCTCAGGACACAAACAGCACCAGCTGGGGATCCAACAGGACATAACTAGGTGCCTCGCAGGGAAAGGAGAGAGTGACCCCTTTCTCCGAAGTATCCAGCTGTTGGCACAAATTGGAATAGCTTAACATTGTTCCTACTGTGCATTGATGTCAAGGGATGTTGTCAAGAGGAGAACTGAGCCCAACTGTCTTTGCACGGTCAAGCCAAGACACACCCCAATGAGTCTTTGCGGCTTCAAAACCCTCCATCACGCTTTCCATTAGGATTTCCTCAATACTTACTCCTTTACGAACCAAGTAGAGGGCCAAGTCTGTAGCCAGCATGTCAGGACTCAAGGCTTTCTCCATGTTCTCCTTATGGATCTGCGGAAGTGAGGACCATAAGCAGAAAATCAACAGCTACTAACAGGTCACTGAAGAGTCCTCACACAGGAGATTTCATCCAGGAGAGGCCTGGCTTTTGAAAGGCCTCATTGCAAAAACAACCCACCAGAGTAAGACATTTACTCTCTGCCTTTCGTTTGACTACAGTACATGATCCAGATACTGCATTTTAAACTGCTGGGAGGCACAAAGGCTTCAGCTATGAGACCACTCCCTCCCTCCTGCTGAATTAGAGACCCTCCCCTCTATACAACCCCCCTGTTCGAGGGGTCTGCATACAGGAACTGTTTATCAGCAAGACTTGACCTGGATGGAGTTACTCCTGATTTACACAGCAGTGCGCAAGCGCAGAAGCAGACCCAAAACAGAGTAGTAAAAAGTTAGTCTTACCTGGAGAGTGGAAATGACTCCAGTTGCCACCTGTAGCACAGAGCTCAAAGTATCGATAACATCGAACACGGCCTCCTTGTCTTCCTATTTGTTAACAACAACAACAACAAAAACAGTCTAGTGCAGTGGACAAAGCAGAGAGCTGTAGCAGCCTGGTGAGTGGACACAGTGTCCGTGCTGACCAGACACATTCGGTCTCCATGCATGAGTGGGAATAACCACACTTGGAAGACTGCCAGCTCATGGAGCTTTGGGCATGAGGACGGCCTTCTTTCCCCGTGCAGTCTAGTGCCCAGCTGAGGAGGACATTCTAATAGCAGTTCAGCCCAGCCCACGGGAATTCAGCAGGGGGCGATCTGACTACACTGTAGATTGTTTTTAAATGAAACAATCTTAAGTGAACCCATGTGCTAGTGAAAGGTGCCAGACTGCCCGCCCAAGAGAGCGAAGGCCTGTATCAAATACAGCGCACAGCACAAGCTTTCTCCACGCTGCTGTCTGCCACATGCTCTGGAGCGGCTATTGAGGGGCACAGGAGTAGCTCATTCCCCACACCCACTCAGCTCTTGGCTGGAGACACCTACCCTTGGTGCTGTTTGCCATCCAGTTGCTACCTGGAAATATCACAATCTCACCAATGCCCTTAATGTAGCTCAGCTAACAGTTGTCAGAGGATAGAGACCCTTGATCACAGTCACTCTGGGCCAGTAAATCTGGCAATAAAACTGCTGTGTCCTATCCCAGACCTCCAAGCCATCCAGACCCTGAGCCAGATCCACAACTGGTGTAAACTGGCATAGCTGCATTCAAATCAATATACTGGATTGACACCCGCGGAGGATCTAGCTCTGTAGCCTTAAAATTCTCAATTGTCCTTTGTTCCATAATCCATCATTAGGGTTTGGAGCGACTCCAATACCAACTGCAGTCTTCAAATCCCCTCATCTCTGAATATGGAACAACCATGTACCAAGCAGGTCATGTGCAGTGTGTAGGTATTAATGGATTTTGGAGAGAGTGTTCTGTTGTGTCTATGCAAAGAAATGGAATGAGAATTGGGCTTTACCTGCAAGTCCTTGTTGTAGGTGCTTGGGAGTCCTTTGAGAATCATCATCATTCCAGAACACTGCAGAGAAGGGGAAGTTTATGGTACTTGGATTAAAACAAGAATAGCAAGGAATTTTAAACAGTTTCACTCAGCAGAGCTCCAAAGACAAGGCTGCATCTCTGGTCAGATTTCTGTACACGAGACATTGGTCATTTAAAGCTTAATCCCCGCAGGGCCCATTGAAGTCAGTGGGAAGACTCTCCTGGACTTCACTGGGAATAGGATCAGCCCTTTATTTGCCAGATTTTTTTAAACCTTAACCAAAGCAAACACCTACTGGCAGACTGGCAAAAAACAAAAACAAGAGATGGACCATTCTCAGAGTTTCACTACAGTTAGTAGGATTCTGTAGATGGTTATTAAATGTGTAGCAGATGTACGCCTTCTTATGCCTGTTATTCACAGTGGATGGACCTTCCTTCCACTGGCAAGACTTGACCGCTTGGTGGTGTTACTTGTAATGCTTGGTGGCCACCTTGTGCAATTGCTTCAAGTAGTGCAGTGTGTTTTGTAAGGATTTTGTTGCTGGTCATCCATGTTGTCCTGTTTGATCTAACTGCAATCAGTGCCAGGTTGTGGTATGTACCTGGGATACAGTCCGGGAGGTGTGCTTTGCCGGATGTCTGTAGCCTTGTGGTACAACCTTTCCTAGGGATTATATTCTACTTTGTCTAATAGCATGTTCGGAGGGTTGGCAGATGGTGGGGACACACCATTATCTCCAGGTGACAGTTGAGGAAACTGATACATAAGGGAAGTTAGGGCATAATTGTTAAAGTGGCCTCTGGCTTTGGGTTCCCCAAACTCTGGCACATCTTTGATCTCAGTTTTCACCCTCTGTTCCTACTGACTTGAGCTGGAATTGTGGATGGTCAGCACCTCTGAGCCATCAGGCCCAAGGCGTTTCATGTTCCACACACCAGGCAAGCCAACCTTTTCAGCTGTAGCCTCTAATGGACTTGCCCAGTGGCTCCCCCAGATTCAGGAAGAGAACTAGAGTATGATGGGTGGGATTTAAATTTCTCTCCCAACTACGCTAACTGGGGATAAAGACTATCCTAACGAGCACCCCAGCGCTCTGACATCTCCTCCCCTTGCAGACTCACCCTTCCAAACACACGTCCAGCCTTGCTGCGGATCAGCTCCAGACTGTCTGGATTCTTCTTCTGAGGCATCAAGCTACTCCCTGTGCTGAAAACAAAACACGGAGCACATTAGACTGGCGAGGTCCCTTTCTGTAGAGAAAGCGAGATGGGAAAGAGTTCACGGGGTCTCTGCACACTGCACTGCAGCAGACCCCAGGGCCCAGGAAAGCTACACCTGCCACCACCATGCACAGTCTAGCTGCACGTGGCAGGAAATACCCGGTGGTCTCCAGCGTTCATCATGAACAATGGGGCTATTTCCTCGACACACCCAGTAGGGGCAGGGGTTCCCAAACTGTGGCAAGCTGATGTCTGGAATTTTCCAGAAAACGTCAGGAATATTAAACCCATTACCGCCCCCCCCCCACCCCCGGTCAGCTCTGGCATGTTAGCAGCGGGTCTGGCATGCAGGAACGGCTCCTGGCCCCACTCGCTAGTCCTTTGCAGCCCCCGGTCCCACACTTTGGGAAATGCTGCATTGGGATGTTAAAGGAGACACGGGCAATTCATCGTAAGATCCCACGGTGGGGTCACTGGGTGGAATCCAGCACCCAGAGAGCCACAGTTGAAGGAACTGCCAGTTCCTTCACCTGGCCTTAGACACATGGGGCCACATGAATCCCTGCAAACTCCATTGACTTCAGCGGGGTTACACCAAGGATGAACTGGATCCTTTGTGCACCGGATTAGGCTGCAGAGCAATAGCACGCTATTCTGCTTGGTTCGTTTACACAACAAGTCAGGAGTGGAGCCTGTCCCTTTGACGCGGTTGTAGCTCCATTTTAATGGAACTAGTCCGGAGTTAAGCCAACACAGCTGAGAGCAGAATCAGAGCCCCTGCATGTTAAAATGCTGCTTGTGCAGCTGGAGTAGAGGGATTCTGTGTCTGATAATGAAGACTTTAAATAAGATGCAAAATATCACACTTCCCTGGGTCTCTCAGATCCCCCATACGTGCTGCTTCTCCCCTAACTCAGCCTAGACGTGCCAGGTTGTCTCATGGGAAGAGAGCAGGGATGCTTGTAGATAAATTTAACGTGTGTCTTGTCTACAGCTACCATGCATCCCTGCTACTGAGGCTACATCTACACTACAGGGTGGGGTCGATTTAAGATACGCAAATTCAGCTACGTGAATAGCGTAGCTGAATTCGACGTATCGCAGCCGACTTACCCCGCTGTGAGGACGGCGGCAAAAATCGACCTCTGCGGCTTCCCGTCGACGGCGCTTACTCCCACCTCCGCTGGTGGAGTAAGAGCGTCGATTCGGGGATCGATTGTCGCGTCCCGATGGGACGCGATAAATCGATCCCCGAGAGGTCAATTTCTACCCGCCGATTCAGGCGGGTAGTGTAGACCTAGCCTTAGCCAGTATCAAAGCTGCTCTGGGTTTAGCTCCGTCTAGATAGAAAGATCTTAGCTGTCTTATTCAACAGCTATGTCCGTATATTGAAGGGAGCCCAGTCCCTCAAGGGTGTGGTCATTCTCGTACCAGAATATACTAACAAAATGTGGCTTGGTAACCCTGTCAGAGTGAGAAATGAGACTAGTAACAGGAAATCTGGAAGGGTTGCAAAACAAGGCTGTTTAAGGAAAGGCCCTTTTTACGGGAACTCCCAGCATAGGAGGATTTTTTTTTCCCCCGGCTTCTCGTTTACAGCCTGATTCCACAAATGTTTACTCAGGCAAAATGCCCAGTGAGTACGACAAGATTCAGCAGAGTAGGGCTACAGGATCTGGCCTTT